ACTGGACATTGGACATTGGACATTGAACTGAACTGAACTGAACTGACCTGAACTGACCTTCCACACGTGAAGGTCATTGGAGGCGGTGGTTGTGGATGTATTGTGGCCCGTTACTGTACTGTAATCGAAATGATGTCTTGGTATGTATAAATTCTGTTAAATTCATCCGTTACAGGAAATCTCTCGGTCGCATATTTTCTGGAATCAAAGGGGCCTATAATGATATCAATCCGTCCACCTTAACGGGTGCGATTGACGTCATCGTCGTCGAGCAACCTGATGGAACCTACGAATGCGGTCCGTTGTACGTTCGCTTTGGGAAGTTAACTGCGATATCGCCGGCAGACAAAGTTGTGGAGGTATATGTCAATGGGAGGTATGTCGATTTCCTTCGTATGCGACTGGGAGCTGCTGGAGATGCTTACTTTGTGGACAGCGATGCATGTTCCAGTGATGATGAAAAATATCCTACTGGTGACTCAGAAAGCAGACGCGTTGCTAATATAAAGTGGCCCGAATCGGTTACACGACGTCGGAGAAGAAAAGTGCGCCGTGACTCGGCTATGAGCGAACCTGATTCACCGACCCTAATAGATGATTTGAACGACGATGATGCTATCCGATCTGATTCAGAGCAGCTTGATGTCACGGAACATGATAGGTCAAATCTGTTGAATCACTACGGTTCAGATGGATTTCTCATTGATAGCTTGAACTCGATCGGAGAGGATCTGTCTTGGGCATATGGCGGGCTGTTACATAGACGCTCTGAGTGTCAGCCGCCTACCTTCAAAAAATCAGAATCCATTCCTGACACTGGTCACACAGATTCTCCGAAAATATTCGAAAATGAAGACAAAAAAGACAATAAGCCTAATCCCCTGAAAAAAGACGAGGTTTATCTGGAAGATCTCGTAACATCTGAAATGGACCCAACAGTAAAAGAAACTTACATTTACCCGCCGACACATCATAATTACTCTGGTGTTTCTCGCTCCGATAACTTTTTACATCGTTCTGCAGCTGAAGTGAACTCCGTGGACGCTGGATATAGATCTGATGGCGAACAATCTCCGCGAAGTTTATCCCCAATTTATCCTTCCATTTATGGCTTAAAATTGTCTCTGTGTGGTAGTCCCTCCATGGATGCACAGATTTCAGATGAAAAGTTCGTAGAGCATTTGGTTTCTTTTGAGGAGTTCATCCATGACCCTGAAGCCATCCTCAGTAATCCAAACCTCACTGTACAGTTGAATAACAAGTATATGTGTTGGCCTCTTGCTGCTCCGTCGATCATAAGCATTCTAGCATACCAAACGGAGCTTCCACACCGTACTGTCCGCCACTTAGAGAGTGTTCATCAGTCCAAGAAACAAACCCGTCGCACCTCTTGGTTCAGTTGGGGTAGTCGCAGGGCGGAAGCTGAGGATCACGATGAAACGAAGATTGCTGAAACCGTTGCTCTTCCTGAAGTTGTTGAAGAACCGGTTGTTGTCATGGACACACCTCGGACGATTAATGATAACCCTGACCATGATGAAAAGAAAACGCCCAAAACACATTCTACACTGAAAAAGAATCGTCTTTCTACCTCTGATATATCACGACTCAATCTGAAAAAAGGTAGGAATGACCTCGAGTTCCGAGTGACCACAAAATATCAGGGCACATGTATCTGCTCAGCTTCAATTTTCTTGTGGCATTGGTCTGATCGAATAGTGATTTCTGATGTTGATGGGACAATTACACGAAGTGATTTGTTGGGTCATTTACTACCGATGCTCGGACACGATTGGACACATGATGGTGTCGCCTGCCTATACGATCGAATTGCCAGGAATGGTTATCGATTCGTTTATCTATCTGCCCGTGCGCTTGGTCAAGCCGGTATTACTCGGAGCTATTTACGTCATGTAGTTCAGGAAGAACTCAAGTTGCCGGACGGCCCTATTCTTCTTTCTCCCAACTCCCTTCTGCACGCGCTTCATCAAGAAGTGATTGAGAAAAAACCCGAAAATTTCAAGATAAAATGCCTGTCTGATGTCACTGCATTATTTCCCAAAGGCTGCCAACCTCTATATGCCGGATTTGGAAACAAAGTTAACGATGTTTTTGCCTATGAACAAGCGGGTATTGAGCGCTGTCGTATATTTACTGTCAACCCTCGTGGCGAGCTTCGAAACGAATACCATTCCGTGAAGAGTACATCATATAGGGAGTTGATTGAATCGGTAGACTTACATTTTCCTTTAATTTTGGACGAGTCCCGAGCACCTTCCCCTGTTTTCCACGGTGAATATACTCCTGAGAATGCTTCTGAATCGTCCAAATCGGTTGGCCAAATTTTCCGCCGATCATCTGTCGGTGTGACTTCAGCAGATATGTCTATGTACTCCTGTTTCACTTACTGGCGAACTGATGAACTTGACGCTGTTCCGGACCCTGATGTACCAACTTGACTGTAAACACACGACTTGTTTTATTCAGAGTTATCCTATTGCATTTTCTTGTTTGCCGGTAATTTCCAAGTCACTGATGGTGACAAATACCATAAAGTCTTTCGGTTTTTAATTTATCCTGGTCACGTTTTTCAGTCTATCTACAAGCTGCTCAACCGGCTCATCTCACTCTATACTATCAATTCACTTTCTTGCATTGAAGTTCTCCGAATTTGTCTCAAGTATTTTTTTTGTATGGTTGAGCGCACTTTTGCTTTTGATTAGCCCATGTTTCGAATTCATTTTATGCTGTCTACTGAGCTCCATCCAGTCTGCCATGCTATTGCCTTCCATTATCCGCGTTCAATATATTTTTTTTACTCGGTCCGGCTTCTCCATTTCCGCGTCATCGAACTTACGTAACTTACAGTGCCGTTTTTTAGGCTCACGTCGACGTAACCGAAGATAGTGACGAGGATAGCTTTCAACAGGCTACCGAATACCTGCCCCGCATAGCGGACAAGTTGGATGCCGATGTCCTTTTGTACTTCTATGCGCGATTTAAGCAGGTTAGTTGCCCTAGAACTGGCTGTCCTGCCAATCATTTATTACATTCGTTTCGTGATGAGACATCCTTGTGTTTGTTAGGTGTCACTTTCTATCCAGGAACAACAAAAACAACAACAGCAGTAATTTTAGTATTTGTACCAATTGTTTTAGCTGCACTAAAATATTTTCATTAGTCGCCTTTTAGAGTTCTCGACTTGCAAACAGCTCAGCAGTGCGTTTTTGTAGGTTTCCCTCTCTATCGCATCTTTATGGTTGGGTTGTGGGTAGTATGCTTGCGTTCTGCCCATGAAGTCCCGGGTTCGATCCCCAGTTGGGTCGATCGATTCGCACTGCTGATGAGACCTAACCAAGTCGAAACAGCTGTCCGGTGCTTCCTAGATTTTCAGTTCACGCTTCATTTGCTATATACACGACGAATTCTCATTCGTGCATAATGGTTCCGTTGTTCTTCAGTGCATACCATACTTAATTTTTCCTCGACAATGCATTCACACCTCTTTCTGGAGGTGGAAACAGGAACTTGCTTTACAGCATCTCCATTTTATCATTACATTGCTGATTTCTTTTTGTGCGTTTCCGCGTTCTGCAAATAAGCATCAATGAAAATTATTGTATTTTACACGAATATGCGTCCAGAATGTATGCCAAACACCACGTTAAAACAATATTTAATACCATATATATATATATATATATATATGTATGTATATATATATATATCCATCACGACGAGACTACACATTGACGTGGTGTGATGGCTTGTGCACCTCTGTGAACCAACGAGCTACAAAGGACGGCTTTATAAAGCCAGGAGATCTTATCATGCCTGGAAGGTCAATGGGTAGGGGTCAGACGAAGTTCAGTCTCCTGGTCCTCCAGGTTGGGGGTTCGCCTGGAATTTGGCGTTTCAGTCGATAAAAAAACGGTGGAGGAGTAATCGATCCAAGTAAACGGGCCTTCACTTCACCTCACCCGCTGCCTTGCGGTTAGGTTATGAGAACATTGTACCCTTCTGTAGCAATAGAAATAAATTGAACGTAACACAAGAAAAGCAAACATACCTTCAAATTTGTACCTTTGAGTAACTATAAGGGTCATGAGGTGATAATTTTTTGCATTAAACATGAACAAATTCAGTTCACTTTGCACTATCATACGCCAGTTTTGGTTGCTGTCTTTTGGCTGTTCATTCGGATGAACATTATGAGAAAGAAAGGACAGGTTTAAAGTAGGATCAAAGAGACAATGCAGAATTTCAGTGAACTAAGGTAGCAAGGAAATTGAGATGCACGAACGCCACTGTTAACGACATTCAATCATGTCATTCGGTTTCTTTAACCACCGGTTGCGATCACCCCGAGGTCCCCAGTCAAAAGCATAACACGACCAATGTGGCCAAGTCTCTTGGTTAGGGTTTTCATACTCTCGTGATAGGGCTTATTTTGACCACCTTTGGCTTTCTTCCACCCACTACATGCTTCAGTAAACATCGCACGCCGTGGCAATCTACTTGGTGACGTGCATAACACGTGCCCCAACCACCGTAATCTATGAAGATCGACCACTTGCTCCAGTGGAAGACCGCAGTTACCTGAAACTCTGCCCCTAACGTCATCATTGCTCATCCGGTTGCCCCACCAGATTCGTGCAATGCTTCGTAGACTGTGACGTTCAGACACCGACAGTCCATCTTTATCTTGTTTACTTGACGGTTAAGTTTCTACGTCGTATAACAGAACTGGCCAAACTGCCGCAGCATACACTCGACTTTTCATGGACAGCCGGATGTCTCGGCTGCGCCATAGATAGCTTAAGTTGGCAAATGCCAACCGAGCCTTCTGTATGCATGCCGACACTTCATCTGTGACGCGTCCGCCAGTGGAGACATAGATGCACAAATAGAAAAATCTGTCTACTTTCACCACTACTTCCTCATTTAGAATGAGGTTGGAGGCCAAACCAAACCAATCTAGTAGAAGGAATTTACAATTTGAAGGTGCAAAGCATATACCGAACACGGTTATACTGACACTCAAGCTATCCAGAAGTTCAGTTCAGTTGTTACAACCGTTAACCATGCACATTCGTGTGCCGGTTTTGGTTGCCCATTTGGATAAAATAGCAGAATGATGATGAGAATGTTGAGAGCAGATTGAACCAAAAGATAGCGCATTTGCATAGACTGAAGTTACAAGAACAATGAGTAGATGCATGAGCGTCACTGTTTGCGACACCCAGTCATATCACTCAGTGTATCCAACCATCGGTGACCCAACCAGGGAGCCTAACGAGGTTTTGCAAGTATAGGAGGGAATGTAACTGGTGACAGTCTTAACTAAGATAATCTCTGAGGACAGCCTTAAAAAGGACACCGATCGAGCGTAGTGGCCTGCGTGCGTTCAGCGAATGCAACTTTCCTAAATCTTTCTGGTGGTAATGGCTGAGAAAAAGGTATTGAACACCGTGGCAATTAGTTGGATTAATAGATGAGTTAAAAAAATTGGGATTCGAAGAAAAATTGGATCCAGAATTTTTCTCTTCGTGAGCTTCAGAAATCAGATAGCTGAACTGTTTTCAGACCGGAGAGAGAAATCAGTTGATTAAAAACTCCTCAGCTTTGGTTTGGCGGTAATCAAATCTTCGGTAGCTAAAGTAAGACTGGGTTAGTTTTTTTTGCTTTACCATAAATCACAAATTATTTCACTTTCTGGATAATAATCGGATGCATGTCCCTCATCTACACAGAGTGGCGATGAAACTGTGTGGTTAATAAGTTGTACCGGTCACTTGAGGCTATATCTTCATGTACACAGCAAGGCACCCAGCGTAATGGGATCACCTTGGGAGTTCACCTGGCCTAGTACAGCTAAGATGTAAATGCAGCCAAAACCAACACACGAGGATGCAGGGGGACCATAGGAGCGTTTATCCCCTGAAGATGAACGCAACAAATTTGGAGGCTACGGCAGACATTACAGGTGCAGCAATTATTGTTCTAAGGATGAGAAACCATAACGTGGTCAAAGCAATCGTTGTTTTTTATTACACATGTGAATACAGTAAAAGGAATGAACACCATAGACCAAGGATATATTTTACATTTGATAATAAAAAGGAACATTAAAGCTGGAACCAGTTTGTTGATTCTGTGTTTAAAAAATGGACGTTGTAGAGAAGACCGAAAGACTGCTGCTCTTGGGAGGAAAAAAAGTGACTCTAAGTTGGGCGTGTGACACCTGAGGATAGTCACTTGAAATGGGTGACTAGCCGCTCGTGTACGGAGCCTACTAGGAAGAACGAATGGGAGAGAACAGAACCAGCAAGTTCAACAGAAAAAAGCCAAAATAATATTACTAGGATAACTTGGGTAGCAAGTGAGATAAAACAGTGGTCCGATTAACCCGGAAGACGAACTGTATCAATGATGGAAAATTAAAGGATTGTTTATGAGGAACTAGATCGAGGTTATGAGCGTGGTTCCTACCACGGTCAGGGATACGGATCGGGAATTCAGTCGGTCGGTGTAGTTTGTTCAATAAAGCAAATGATTCTGCTTCACGCCCGAGGGGTGATGTCCACGCCGAGTTTAACATCCATTCACTGTTATGGACGTCAAAATCACCCAAAATTATTAACTGGACTTTGGGGTCTGCTTCAACAATGTTCTCAATGCCGATAAAATATCACATTGTGAAGGGTCACCACTATTGGTGAAACAGTATATTGAAAAAATTGGTTCAAACCGCCAATGTCAGTGAGTGTGATTTTTTTTCATTGCACACGTGTGTGATAAACAGCAGATGGGGTAAACCCCATAGTCGCGCGGACCTGCTATTCAGTGACGGAAACCGGCAAGCTAAGCCCCGGGACTTGGAGTGCCGAATCACATGAGCATNGCGTGATATTGAACCTGACGATAGAAAAGCTGCCTACCACCAAACTTTGGTGGAGAGCTTTGAGTTCCGGTGAAAAATAAAGTCATTGATTTAAGCTTCGGTCTAAATCACAATTTCAGATGAGGTCCCTAAAAGCATAACAGAGTTCTGAGAATGAGTACCCCTGGATGGGAAGCGACGTTGGTTACTCATGTGATTTGTGACGAGAAGAGAGCGAGAAAGCCAGCAAACCAACTCTGAGGCTTAGGCTAGTGAACCGAAAATAAGGCATCAATAGGTCGTGCGTGGTGGTGAGCCGAGTGACAGCAGATTTATGAAAAAGATTATGATGGTGATGAAAGAGAAGCGTTCTTAGAACACATCAGCAAAAAGCCAAATATGAACGATCAGGATGGAGGTAAGCCGTGGTGACTGGCTGGTGGCTGTGGGCTCATACGTGGGATTTTGATTGATAGAAAGTAGGTAAAATAGTTGGGGACCTCGAGATGAGAGGAGAAACATAAAAATAAGGTGAAATTTTAGAGAAATCAGTATTGCAGTCCAATTCATAAATGT